CCGGCGATGTGTTGAGGTGTGGTGTCCGGCGAGGCGGCGTTCTTCCTCGGCGAGCTTCCTCTCCGTTCCCCCGCCACGAATCTGGTCGGACGCGGCGCCGCACCGTCTTCCTAGCTAGGATTCCGGGAGGCGGTCGTCTTCTTCCTTCGTTTTCCTCGGTTCCGGTGGTGCGCGTGGTGGTGCTATGTACCGGATCTGCTTCCTCTTCATCGGGATCTGCTTCTTCGTCGCCTTGTCTTCTTCTTCTCCGTTTTGCGCTTCGCGTTTCCTCCGTCGACCACCTCGAGGTGAAATCGACCCCCAATCCCCATACTATTTGCTTTGGATGATGCTAGGGTTTCGGTATATTTGTACAAGATCCTGTCTTCGTGGCTTATCTGAACTGTTAGTGCCGGTTGATTAGTTATGCGATGTTGGATTTAGGGTTTGGCTTGAACTGTTCATTTGTTCTGACTTCAGTATGGTTTCATGCTATTTGTTTACCTGTTCTTATGGTCGATGATGATGTCCATTGCACTGGGAGGCAGTTCTATCATGCAGTCGTGCCTACTTTTTTGTTGACTGATGACACATCTATGTTGAGGCCAGCCAAGGTCAATTGAACAATATTTGTCTTGAATGTTCATGCATGTAGATGGATCCCACCCAAACCGTGAGCTGATGGCCAATCAAGCTGCTGCCTTGGTAGTTGTTATGGTGTCTTATGTTGTCACTAGGCTTAGGAGGTCCAGGCCAGAACCAGACCCTTTGTTGTACCATCTTAGGAGTGATGATGAGCAGCATCGGAAGCAGACCTTGCAAGCCATTTTCAACTCCACAGATGCAGAGTGTCTATCCATGATAAGGATGGCCAGAGCTCCTTTTTTTGCTCTTTGTAACCTTTTTAGAGATAGGTGACTTGTACACTGAAAAGGCTGGGTACAGTTGAGGAGCAGTAGCAATGTTCTTTCATGTTGTTGGACACAACCAAAGGTTTAGGGTAGTTCACCAGGCCTTTAGGAGATCAATTGAGACTGTCCATAGGCACTTTCACAAAGTTTTTATATGCTGTTGGTGAGCTTAGAAGTGAAATGATTAACCCTCCTACACCTGGCATTCATCCAAAGATCCTTGGGAGCCATAGATGGAACCCTTACATGCAGTAACTTGTCACTTTAAGTGTTAAACCATAACTCACTCTAAGTATCAACCAATGCACTTATCCCACGTACATAAATTTTAGGACTGTATTGGTTATTGATGGCACCCATGTGTTGGCAAGGGTGCCTAGACACATGCAAAGTGAGGATTTCGGGGTAGAAAATCAACCCCCACACAGAATGTGATGGTTGTTGTGGACTTTGACCTCAAGTTCACATATGTACTGGGCCTGGCTGGGAGGGCTCAACACATGATGCCCTCATCCTTGCTGATGCCATTAAAAGAAATGATGGGTTCATTGTGCCTAAAGGTAACTGAAACCAACTGTCCACTACACTTTTATCCTTACCATGTCATAGACATTCACCAAGAGCATCTATGGTGCACTTGTAGGTAAATTCTACCTTGTAGATGCAAGATATGCTTCCCGCATTGGCTTCCTCCCTCCCTACAGGGGGTGAGGTACCATCTGTCTGAGTATGGCAGCAGAAACTACCCAACCAATGCAAGGGAATTGTTCAACCTGAGACACTCCTCACTTAGGGTCATAGTTGAGAGGGCTTTTTGTGCTTTGAAGAACATGTTTTGTATTTTAGACAAAAAGCCATTCCACCATTACAAGACACAGGTCAAGCTTGTTATAGCATGTTGCATTCTTCACAACTGAATCCTAGGCTTTGGCCTTGACCAAGCTATGCGACCAGAGGACTGGTTGCCACCAAACCAGCCTGATATCCAGCTTGTGCATGAGCTACTGTCGCAAGATTCCACTGCCATGTCCACTAGGAGGGATAGGATATGTAATGCAATGTGGCAGGGATACCCAGCCTGTGCATGAGCCTAATACCCAGCCTGTTACCTAGTCTTTGGACATGAAACTCAGCCATACAGTGGTAGCAACATAGATGAATTATGATGCTGCTGTTGGATGGCTATGTCCCATGGCCAAAGCTGATGTCTATTTATGATTCTGATGTGTAATCTCCTACTGCTGGGCCCAGAACTGTTGGGCAGAACAATCATGTTGTAAGGCACTGCCATGTCCTCTGTTGGCTACTTTATTTGAGATCAATTGTTCCTTATTCTCTTATGAACTATTGGTTTTATTTCTTTTGATTGGTGAACTGCGGGAAATCTATATGGCCTATGATGCAAACAACATATACATGAGGTGGCTGCCTTGTTTACCTGGTCTTTGATGTTTTTCATGACTGTCATCAAACCCTATGTGTGCACATACATTCCCTTAGCAATAGCCCCTTCTTTCTTGTGCTGATGGTAGTGAGTGGATGTGCACAATAGGGTTCCATGGCAGCCATGACATTGGATTTGCACTTGTTTAGTTGTTCTGTTACCTGCAGTTTGTAACTTATTGTTCTACTAGTTTTTTATTTGTATGGCAGCCACCAATGATATAGACATTGAATTACACCACCAGATTCTAAAGCTGAGGCCAATCTTTTGTAACAATGCCTGTGATGTCATACTTGTTGATTTGAACCTGATGCTGCTGGTCATTAGTGAGGGACTCGAGATCAACGATTTGTTTCATAACAAACCATAGATCTTCAAGTTCCACACTCATGGCTAGTTTCATGCATTACATTTGATTAAGGCTAAAACACTGTTTATTTTCATAGAAATGTCAACTTGCTATGTGGTTTTCTATGGGAAGCCTCTAGGGATTTACCTGACTTGCATGAGTGCAGTAAGCAAGTTCTTAGGGTCAGAAATGCTATATACAAGAAGTATATTAACTATGAGTAGGCTGTTGGAGATTTTCAGGCAACAATGAGAGATGTCAATCTATCTCATGGAGCAGCAGCTCCCCCCTATGATCCGGTTCCTGATGATGCTTTTGCTCCAATCATTTCTCCTTCTAATGGTAATGGTAAGGCTGGTTGGTGGAAGAAGATGTTAATCACCTCACTTGTTATCTTTCTGTTTGGACTATGGATGAAGGGGGTCAATATTGGTTGGTACGACTGCCCCACTTAGGCCTATGATGACTACAACTAGATGATGGATGAGCTGCTACTGTGTCTTACTAATTTCTGTCATCCATTTCTGTTACCTATCTCCTATGTGTTGTTCAAAGACTGCTACTTACTAATTAGTCCGTTGATGTTGTTATTTTGCCTTGCTTCATTGCTTTTGTAAAGTTAGAGTAGCTATGACTCCATGGTCAATTACCTAATTTGTCTAAGGTCGGTTGGTTAGATGATGTTGGATTACTCTTACATATCTCCTATCTATTGTTCATTTCTGTGCTATTCTCCATGATTGCTGGGCCTGGCCGGGATCAAACAGGATCTCGAAATGGCAGTTGAGGTAGTGGGCCTTGGGCCTGACTCCCTGATGTGGAATCAAACACAATCTGTGCTGGGCCTGGTCCGTTTGGTATAGGGAACCAAACAAGGGGCCTTGCACCGTTTCAATCCGGCTGTGGCTGACCTGGGTCTGGCTGGCTTCAGGCCGCGTACCAAACACGCCCTTAGTTACCTTTCGAACCATGGCATGCAAGCTTATATACATTAAGTTTTAGTGCCATATCGTATCACATACTATTTTTAAGTTTATATGTCAAGCTTTAGTGCCATATCATATTACTTTTTAAATAATACAATGAACGATATTAATAATATCAATAGTTATGTGCTGGCTTCGCTCCTGTCTCGACAAGGCACGCATTGGTGATTGGTCTACTTCTTCTCGAGAAATCACAACGGTCATTTTTACCATTTTGTTGTCCGGATTTTAATTGATTATGTGCTAAAGTAACCATCCTTAAATCGTGTTACAGTCTCAGATAACAATGAAACATAACGTGACTGTTTCTGAAAAAAAACTTTTTTTTGTTAGTGCAAGTATGATGTCCCTCTGTGCATCATTGGCGTTACTTTGTGCATGACAACCGTTTCAGCATGACTTACAAGCCATGCAACGTCCCACCTTCCCTATCCTCTTTACCTATCCACCTCGACCATGCGATATCCATCCTTCCTCGACTGCATACCCCCTCCAAAATCACATATCTATATCTACTTGCTGATTTCTAACCCTTGAAACGACACAAATACTTCTTAGACGCTTTATGAATTTAATCATGAGTTAATTTTACCATGGACAAGACAGAACCCACTACGTAAAACTAAATTAGTGGATAAACACTGGAGTATCACTTACTTGTCATTTGAGGTTATACACAAGTTCACTCTTAGGCTATTCCAAACTTGTGGATACACACCGGAGTCTCGTTGATTTTTCATTTGAGGCTATACTCAAGTCCACTCCTAGGTTATTCTAAACTAGTGGATACAATTGGAGCCTTAATGATTAGAAGTTATATTCAAGTCTACTCTTAGTTTATTGTAAACCAGTGGATATAAATAAGAGTCTCAATGATTTCTATATGTTTGAGGTTATATCAAAGTCCAGTCCACTTTGCCTTAAAAAAAAAGTCCAGTCCACTACTAGGTTATTCTCTCCCTAAAACCCAAAATTTCCAACAGGTACACGGGCACCCAATCTTGGAGCCATAAAAGATCCGAGGTGCTGGATCGCAAAAGCGCCCCTCGTTTCGTCTTTATCCCCATCCCCCACCGGACCGGAAGCCGCAAGCCCAGCGGCGGAAACCACAAAACCACCAAGCCGAGCGTGAAGGCGCCTGAACCACCGCGAGCGCCCGCCCACCACCACCCCACGAAACCCAAACGCGCCTCCGTCCGCAGCGAGGGATCCCGCATCCCCCTACCCGTTTCAATTTTCAAAGGGCGTCGAGGCGCACCTCCGCCGCCGCCGCCACCGACGAGGGAGGAAACGCCAGGCCTTCCCCTCCTCCCCGCCCCGAGCCAGCCCCGATGTTGTCCGACCAGGAGCTGGCCCAGTACGTGGAGTCCCTCGTTCAGCACACCGCCGCGCAGGGCGGCACCGGGATATCGGCGGATGCCGTGGTGCGCCAGCTCGGGGCGCAGCTCGGCGTCGACCTCTCCCCCAAGGCGCAGCTCATCCGCAGCGTCCTCGTCGCGCTCCTCGGCCCCGCCGCCGCGCCGGCGCCGGACCACGCGGCCTCGCGGAAGGACCCTTTCGACCCCGCAACCGCCGGCGGCGGCGGCGGCGGCGGGGCCCGCGCCGAGGGTCCTGCGCAGCAGCTGCCCTTCTCCACCTCCGCCGTCGCGTCGTCGGCCCCCGCCCCGTCGCCCGCCGTTCCCCACTTCTTCCCGCAGCAGCACCAGCACCAGATGCAGTCTTTCCTCTCCGCCCCGCAGCAGTATCAGCAGCACCAACGTTCCGGCGCGCCTCCCTCGCCGTTCGACGTCCCCGCGTCGTACCGCTACGGGCACCAGCCCTTCCCGCAGGCCGACCAGGCGCAGCTGCAGAGGCTCGTTCAGCTACAGCAACAGCAACAGCAGTTGGCCGCCGCGGCGAGAGCGGCGGCTGCAGCGGCACCCACTCCGGCGGAGAGCCCCCGTGCGCGGGAGCCGGCACCGGCGCCGGCTGGCTCCAAGAAGGACAGGTGACACTTCCTGCACTCTTAGTTCCCCATCATTCCCCCCTTAGAGTTAGGGTTTGGAGCATCCACTTAGATGCTAGATGCGCGTGTCTCGTGCGGTTACATTCAGTTAGGTAGAGTAGCTTCTACGCGAAGCGAAGCTCCTAAACCTCTAGGATCGAAAATTTTCCCCTTTCTAGATTTGTTTGGTGATTTGAGGTGGGATTAACTGGAAAAGCTTACATGTTTTTTTGGTGGTCACACGGCTTGTAGTGGTACGGATTTGGGCTTGATTGTTTCTGGTGGACAGAAATATTTTATATCAGGATATGGTTAGTGGGGTTGGGTGAAGTGGAAGGAATTTGTTTTCAAGCGCTCCAGTTGGTTCATTTGAGAAATTTTGTGGTGCCATTTCTACTTGTACTAGACATTTAATGCCCCGTGGTTCCAAGCTTAGGGGAGGCAATCATCTTGCGAGTGTACCTGTGAAAACCTTTGAATGCTCCCGTAGTCATGTCAACCATTCATGCAGAATTAAATCCCATGAGGTCATTAACATTGAAATGGATTCACTCAATCCCATCAAAATGTTTGCTTTTCAAGCAACCGGCTTCAAACAAAGAAGCTTATCCATAACTGCCAATTTGATTTGCAGAGTGGGCTCTACGTTTAGGTACAACTTGCTGGAACTAGAAAGGAACCTTTCTGTTTGCTATGTCGATTCACTTGAAAGGAATTTATGGCACTTTTTATGTACTAAATCCGTACTACTATTCTGCAAACACCAAACTCTTCTGCATGTGACAATGTTCCTGATATAAATCTCTACCCTCACTTCACTCTGTTGGAATAAGATATGGATATGTCCCCTGTTCTCAATTGTCACCGTCGGCTGTCATTTGTTGAGTTGAGCCTGTTCACTGAACTCGCTGTTCTTGTTGTGGCAATGTAGCAGTGCTAGTGCTGGAGCAAAACGAAGAGGTGGTCCTGGAGGGTTAAACAAAGTCTGTGGTGTGTCTCCAGAGCTGCAAGCTATCGTTGGTGAACCAGCCATGGCTAGAACTGAGGTCCAGTCTATCTAGCACATCTTTCTAATGCCTTGTCTACATGTTTACATTATGGCAGGGAACCTGACACTGTTAATCAATGCAGATTGTTAAGCAGCTTTGGGCGTACATTCGCAGGAACAATTTGCAGGATCCTAACAATAAGAGAAAGATTATATGCAATGATGAGCTCCGATTAGTTTTTGAGACTGATAGCACAGACATGTTCCAGATGAATAAGCTTCTATCTAAGCATATACGTCCTCTGGAGAGTAAAAGTAGGTGTTTCTCCTGACACACCATATCTACTTCTTTACAAAACAATCATATCTTGTGTACTGAACCTGTGGTCCAAATTCTTGCAGATGATTCGAAACGAGCAGCAAAGAAATTGAAGCCAGAGGGTGGTGAACCAATTCCTTCGGTTGAAACTGATGTTAACCAATTTCCCCTTACGGTTTCTGATGCTCTTGCTACCTTTTTTGGTACGGGAGAAAGAGAAATGGTCCATTCTGAGGCTGTTAAGCGTGTCTGGGATCACATTAAAAGCAATAATTTAGAGGTTTGGATGATTACTATCAGAACTGTTATGTGCTACTATTCCTTTTTGAAATGTTGGGTCCAATATTAAAGTATTAAACTCCAAGTGGGCTTTGCAAGTAATTTGTCCAACCTTGGGAAACTAAAGAAGGCCAAAAGAAATGTCTATCTCTGTTTTATAGTACCAGAATATCTGTGTAGAAAAAAGGGGCATAATGTTTGATTTCAGAAAGTTGGCTTACTATTTCTTTTGGGATGAAAATGTAAATGCATCAATATTGGTAACCTGTAACTGCATTCCCTGTGCTTTAAACTGATGTCATACATGAAAACTTGTCTAATTCATGACAATTTTTGTTAGTTGAACCGTTGGACACCCTGCTTGGTCAATATCTGTTTTTCTTACTTGGTAGATCTCTTGCTTTCTATTTTCTATCAGATTTGAGTCTGGTTGGTGGCATGGTAGTTGTTGGTTGATCAACTAGATGCGTACAGTGGTTGTTTCTAGATACATGTTACCGAGTGTATATATTTCACATGTGGTTTAAGTTTTGAACTTGAACTATTAAATGGGGTCAGTGTACTTTTCAATATACTATAACACCATGACGATATATGGGAATCATTATTTTTTGCAAGTTGGTTTTTTGCCTACCCTTTTGACCTATGACAAGAGTGAAGCATAAGCAAAGCGTGTTCCATATAAGCCCATCTTTTCCTTTGGTGTTTTCATACGTAATTTACCAGCAATGATTTTGCCACCTAACATTTCAGTAATGATAAATCTGAACATAAGCAATAGGTGACTTGTATTATTGTCTACTGTACTGCAGAAATCTACTTTTGTCTATGGTGTAGTATAATGCATCCTTCTATTTTCGCCTGCCCTTTCTGTTTTCCTTTTTTGTTTTGCTGCCATGTGAATTGCCTCCGTTCATATTTGTGGTTTGCTTCATTAGTTAACTATTTTTCTTGGGTATATTTTCTGTAAAATACCTAGAGATCTATGTTTGAATAGGAGTACTTGGAAAGCAGCTATTGAAGTGCCTGAACCGTGACTTGGGGATCTTGGTAGGTTTCAACTCTAGCCTACCCCAACATGCTTGGGACTGAAAGGCTATGTTGTTGTTGTTGTATATTTTCTGTAAAAACAGATTATAGGTACTTGTATAACCGTCTGGTGTCTGCATAAGCGCAAACAGGTTTGTAGTCTGATTGGTTTTCTTCTCTTGTTATGGTTACAGGATCCAGAGAATCCTACAGTGATACTATGCGACTCGAAACTTAAACAACTCTTTGGATGTGATAGTCTTACTGCTCATGGTGTCTCTGAGTTGCTTTCAGAACACCTTTACAAGCAATCTACCAAGATCTGACTGGTTAGTTATCAGACTTTCTCTTAATAGCATGCTTATGTAATATTAAGTCAAATATGCTTCCCTGCCTAGCAGTACTTGTTGGAGAACATCCATCCTCTTTCAGTTGTTTGCTTTTGGGTCCTGGTTTGCCCCCTTTTAAATATGTTGCACTAGTAAAAGGAGTCTACTGATAGCAGTCAAATTGGTACTGTAAAGTTTTGACTTAACAAAATTTAGTCATTTTATTTTCACTCTGTAGACCTCTTACATTATGCAGTTTTGATGTCATATGGTAATGCAGGAATATGTGATTGTTTAGCTGTTGGCTGCAGGTGAGACATTTTCTGGATTCAGTTGGGCTAACATCCTGGTAGTAGGCACTGATGAAAGGACAAGAAATCCGCTCAAAGTGTTGTATCTTCCATATTGGTCAAGACTGATTTACAGTAGCAAGGAAAAGGGAATGGCAGTTGTGGCATATTATCTAGTGAGACATAGTAGTCCATCTGACTTTCTAGTTTGTTAAATAGGGAGCAGCTTGGATGCGAAGTTTAAAAGGACAGCGAGAGCTGATGTACTTTGCCTGATGTAAATTCAGCAACCCTAGGTGCGTTTTCTGGTAAGAAGTCGCTTTCTCGTTAGCTAACCTGGAAGCCTCTTGCATTGCTAGTGTCCTAAGTTGACTCAAGACATCTGTACCCCCCAATGTTATGTTGTAGGTGATACCTAACTTATACAGTTTAGATCGTTATCCTGAATGTTCATCCTTTTTCTTCAACCCTGTATCATCATATCCATCTTATGGACAGTAGTTGTTTATAACAAACAACTACTGTGCATCGTGGCTGGCCATGTTCCAGAATTTGGTATTTCTGTTTCTGCAATGATGCAGACCATTTACAAGATCCTGCAACTGTACAACGCTAGATGATGCTTGTTTCTTGTTCTCCTGGTGATGATGATGAACCCTACAAGTTCTTGAACAATGCGTAGAACAGTATCATGACCAGGAGGCCGATGATGACGCAGAAAACGATCGTGCTGCTCTTCTTCTCGTCAAGTGTACCTTCTGGCAGGACCTTGTGCACGATGGTCAAAATTACCGCGTCCAGATTCTGCAGTCATGATAAAAATCAAAAACTGTTTAGTCTTTTGGAAACAAGTTTGTCATTGCTACTCCCTCAGTCCCAAAATAGTTGACACTTTAGTTATGGGTCTGGACAGACATTTGTTCAGGTTCATCATAGCTAAAGTATCAACAATTTTAGGGGACAGGGAGTACATCAGTGGTAACTTTGTTTCAGAATCTGTTATCTGTTTGCCATGCACGCATGATGCTTGCCTGCTGGATGGTCCCAAGAATCCTCTGAAGCAGTGGCACGCAGATCTTGTTCACTTGGCTGCACCAGCAGGAAAACAAACGCGATTCAGTCGATTCTTTGACCCTGCAACTACCCTAATCCCTAGACGTGAGATTGCTGCATATGCAAGTATGCGAAACATATGGTCTTTACGGGACAAAATAGACGGTAAACACCAGTAAACTTACCCAGGGTTTCAGTTAAACCAGACGCTAGGAATTTTGTTACCTGATGAGCAGGAGGCCCCGGTAGACGTGGCTAGTGGAGACGTTGCAGTCGAGGTCCCAAGGCAGCTTCTTCCCCCTTCCATTCTGCAGAGAGCAAACGGTTCAGTTTCCTAGCCCATGCTGTCATGCTGAAACTGAGAACTTCAAGTGTTGTTTTGACTGACCTAGAGACCATTTTAGGCCCAGGTCGAAGCCTGCTTCGTTCGGCGACGGTTTGAGCACGAACGACACTTGGTGCCGGACCATCAGCGCGTGGAGAAGCAGGAACATGTCCTGCAACAACGTCGTCACGGCCGGGTCAAAAACTGCAGGATTGCAGGCATGCTATATCGTTCAGGATTACAAGTTTAGATCCTCTTTGGCAGGGCTTAGACTTCTCTAAAAATACTGAAGCCAGAAAACAATGTTTTTGTGGCTTCGTCTTCTAGACGAAATGGTTTCGGCTTCATTGATTTTGGCTTGGTTTTAGCTTCGCTTAGCAGGACTTTTGATTGAGCTGTTGGAAAACCTCAAACAAAAATCTCAGCTCGTTTTACCTTGCCCAGCTGCGGAACATCAACGGAGCGGAGGTTACCGAAGAAGTAGAGGCACTCGTCGCCGAGCAGCTCGAGGAGCTCCCGTACGCTTCGGTTCTGGATGGCCGAGTTGAGCTTCACCATCCTCATCACGGTCCGTAGCCCGTCTCCGCCGCCGCCGTCGCCGAACAGCCCTTGGGCGCGGAATCTACCGGCGTCTCGTCTTCGTCGGTCCGTCTTGACACGCGCCGCCGGCAGCATCCTGCTGCTACCACCGCCGGGGCCATCGCGACGTCTTGGAACAGTATTGGGATGGTGCGGACGGTGCTGGTGACGAACCGATGGGAGAGGAGGAAGAAGACGAGGCAGGGTTGAGTCCATGGAGACAGGTGAACTGAGAAGGGTCTCGTCTGAATGTGAAAATTGAAATGGACGTGCTGCAGGCGTCTTATACGCCTTGGAGTTTTGTCGAGCAGGCGATGCATGTCCGGCTCACAAGGAAAGGATTGTTATGTATGAGAGGAGAGAATAAGCCATGCAAGGGTACATGCTCTGACGTGCAACATGCACACGGCTGCAAGTGCAAGCTAGGTTTGGGTAATTGGGTTTGCCAAGGAAAGTAAGGAAGGATCGGATGCTTCTTCCAAACTTGGGTTAGGGTCCATGCCCCCATAATCGGTAGTAGGGTACCCTACATCAAGCTTATTCACAGAGTCGTTTTGTGAGCTTCAGGGAGTTTCTGCGCTTCCTCCTTACGGTCGCTCCCAACTGATATGCACTCTTCCATTGCACCTTTTCTTTTACAACACTCTTCATTACATAATATGAAACTTACGACATCGGTGAAAGCTGGGCTTTTTTGTGCTTGGTCTAACACACCTTGGGCCTTAGGGGCTGTTGGCCCACTCTAAATTGGACTCAAATGGCTGAGGTGACAATGAAAAATTGTTGAAATCTTCCTAAGGTTAGAAATTTGCATACCAAATTCATCCAATTCAGACTCTGGATGAGGGAGATATGGCCCATAGAGATCTGTTGTTCCTGTGGGACTTTGGGCCGGATCAAGTTCATCTTTCTCATTCTTTCTTATTGGATCATCCTAAGTCTATGCCCATGTATACCATTTCCAAGATTGTCCCTTGGCCTCAAATTTCATGTCATTTTTCAATACACTCCAAAATATCGAATGTGAAATTATTTCAACTTTTCAAGAGGCAAGTGGCATGTTAGCGTATGAATATGGTCAATAATGCCACCAAAATGAGTTGTAAAATATATGCATAAGTAGCACCAACAGTATGTAGATGTGTCTCAGCTGTGATAAAACTATGCCTAATTGGTATGGACAAGTATGTGTGTGACTGTTTGTGATGTGATGAACTTCGTGTGGTGGTGCTAAGTTAGATGTGAAATTTTAAAATTATGTACAGATATGTGTGATGCTAGTACTTGGACATTGCCATGATATGCGATGCTATGCATTGGTGTAATGTTTTTTTTATCTTATTGTGTGATGTTCTTGACATATTATCGTGTATTATATATCCTATTGACACTTGTTTGTTGACCCCATGGATTTGATGTAAGGGTAGTCCATGGCACTTGTTTTTATAAATATGTGCTTCCTATGTTGAAAGATACAAAACCTATGATAATTTCTTCAATGTATTTTATGGTGTATTCACGACAAACAACTTAATAACTAGTGAATTTTATCAAGTGATGTACATATTTAAACATGTATAAGAGACAAATTGACTCATGAAACCTACCAATTCCAAAGGAAAAGCATCAAGTGGACTTTAGATAGGTTTTGAATTTCATTTTGTATTTCAAAACTAAGTATATATAGGTATGTCCTACTAACGACAAAATACAAATCATTATGATTGTAGGTGTATCTAAGCTCAATTGAAACTAATCAACACTATGAGAGACACGAAACACTCATGGGAACTTTGGTTCTATATATGTGTTTGCGTGGCATCCAGAGGAAGAAGACGGCGAGACGGAACAATAAGCACTGCGACTGCCTATCGTGGCCATGGTCCATGGCTCAAGTCCCCAAGCCCAACATGACAACATGCAACGCAACCAGCATTCATACTAGCTCTACATGCAACAATAACAATGGGCCCTCACAATCTCAATCTTTGTTTCACTTGTTGTCTAGCGCTGACAATTATGAGTACTGAGGGGTGACTGGCGTGTAACACACTAGCACTGCCAAGTGCCGGGCACCACCTACCAACCAGTTCACCACACACCACTAAAAGCATTCCAGCCACCACATACCACCACCACCTCATCTACTCTGTCTTCTCTGATTCTCTATGCCTCTGTAGTTATGGAGGGGTAAGGGATGGTGGAGACAAGGGGAGTGGAGCGGCATCGACAGCGTGGATTCTGATCTCCACGCGGGTGGTGCTGGTGCTGGCCGCGGCCTTGGACAAGGTGCTGGTGCTAAGCTTGAAGTTGAGGGAGAGGGACAATCGATTGACATCTATGTTGGGAAATTGACAACAAAAAATGGTAACAAGAGGTAAACCAAGTAACCACAATGACTCGTTAGCATTTATCATTTTATTAGAAATGTGATAATTGATATTTTACTTGTATTGTGTATGGGTGTATATTTGAATTCCTTTTTTTCAAGTGTGAGTGTTGCCTTGGGATCGTCATCCTGCCCAAGTACATTCTAAGAAGAAGAGGTAAACACTTAGATGAGGGCTATACATGTGTTATATGTCATGATGATATTGAGGAGACAACTTTGCATCTCTTTTTTGAATGTACTTCAAGTGCAACTAGATGGTTCATCCTCGGCATTCAGTGGGAGGTTCAGGTTAGCATTTGTCAGATGATAGCGCAGAAAAATGCTCAGCTCCAGATACCTTTCTTCATGGATTTTTTATGATCGGTGCCTGGTGCATTTGGAAGGAACACAACGATTACATATTCAACCACAAGGTCCCTTCTCTTCGGCTTGGAAGCAACGTTTTATAAGTGAGGTTAAGCTCCACTTATGTCGCTTTAACCCCAGTCACCATCGTGTAATTATTCAATGGCTAGCATCTCTATAATTTGGTAGTTTCTTTTCCTCCTTGTATGGTTTGTGCGGTTTGTCCTTTTGTTAGCTCCTAGCTAACAACCCTAAATTTCTATTTCATTTTTAACATATTGTTCGGTGCTAGGGAGCTTTGCTCAGTTTCTCTTCATAAAAAGTACCCATGAAGTCAAATTGACACTAATGTGGAATTCATGGTTGTCAAAGTTGCATTAGATGAGAACAGGACAGAAGAAAATGGAGGTATTGATGTTACGTATAAAGGAATTATTGATCCAAATGTTCATGGTATTGATGATCCTACTTTAAATACCAGTCAATAGATTTCATCCTAACATAAGATCTGATGCTAAGAGGCTTTATTCGTTGAAGGGTCCAACCCAACCTAGGCCATGCATTTCTTCACAAGATTTTTTATGGTCTTTTGAGCATCATGGTTTGATGATTATGATTGATTGGAATATAGTGTGTCAAAGGATGAAGCCTATAGATTACATTATTTTCTTTTTAGAAAGAAGCCAAGCTTGGAAAGCTTGGTCATGTTGTTTTTACTAACACAAGGTATACTAATTGGAAGAATGTGACAAATAGACAATTTCCTAATTGTTGTTGTTGTTGTTGTGTTATTGGTGGTTGCCACAAAAAGGCAATGTAATGTGCTGATGACTTTAGTAATCAAAGGACAAGTATCTCGCATAAGTTTGAGTCCAATACTATAAATGCTGAGAAGCGATATGAGATTACGTGTCATCGTTGCTATAGACTTTGCAAGATTTCTCTCCATGCCCAAGGTCATGCATTATGACTTATGAGGATACAATGAATTTGAATTTTCCTTAAACAAAGGGAATTTCCTAGAGATGCTATACTGGTACAAGAAAAGAAAAGATGTGGTGAGGGCTACATTTGATGAATAATGTCCTTCTCACCAGATTCAGAAGGACCTTGCAAAAAGTTGTGCAAAAGCAACTAGTAAAAGGGATAAAAAAGAGATTAGGGATAATCTTTTATTTGTTTTGTTATTGATGAAATCTCATGATATCTCAATAGTAAAGCAAATGTTGTGATTGTGAGGTTTGTTTCTATATCACTTTTAATTAAATAGTTTCATTATCAATGGACTTTTATTACTGACATCATTGTGTAATGTCATCCACTTGTTTGTGAATAAAAAGGAATGGATATAGAAAGGTTTTTGGGTCTTGAGCATGTGGAGGACATAACATAAATTGCACTATGGAAAATTTTACTTCAGATGATTTCTAAGTATGGATTATCTATTGCTAGGCTTAAGGTACAAGAATAGATGGAGTTTCTATTGCTAGGCTTAGGTACAAGAATAGATGGAGCTTCACATATGAGATGAGAATTCAATGGATTACAAAAATAAATTCATGATGAGAACTCGTATGCCCAAGGGCGAGCCCACTAGTATTCAATGGTATTTAGTTGAATACCCAAAATATTTGGCAAAAAAAATCATATATACAGTGTATACGTGTGTGTATATTGAAAAAAAGAAAATACAGCCAAACTAAATAGCATGTGCAGCAACCAGTCCAAAAACACATGTTCCTACTCCTTTTCCTCCCTACTTGAAGGCCTAATAAGGCCCAACATCCCAAATTTCCCCTCACCACACCTACACTAGGAGACATCGGCGTCTACTAACTCGCATCCTCGCAGTCATCATTTTCTGCTCCTCCCTCCTCCTGAATAGTATTCTTTTCCCCAATCCCAAACCCTAGCATCGGCTTGGTGGGTGAGGACGACTAGGTGGCACGATGGTGGTAGGGCGGTTGACGGACTCCGCCTGCACTTTGAGCAGCCCCTACCAGCGAGGGAGTCAGGGCAGCCAAGACCAGGATGGCGCTAGTCGCCCAAGTGTTGCAACCACGATGTGCTCGCATAGGACAGTGTGAGCAAACGAGCGACTAGCGGTAGAGCACCGCAACGCACCGATGAGGGAAGTTCTCTCCTTCTAAATCACAATTTGTAAGTTCAAGTTAAGTCTACTACTCTCTTGGATTCCCAATTTCCCATTCAATGTATTAGGCATAGCAATTGGTGAATCACTTGACCTGAGTTTGTCCCCAAATTACTTAGTCCCTTGGTCTAGTTTACCCCAAAATTACTTAGTCCCCAAATTTATTATTTCCTATTTTAATTTTAGGTCTCAAACATGAAAAAAGAGTGGTACAATATATTTGAGGACTTTATTGCAAAGGACTTACCCCAAATGCAATGGATCTTATTGAGTTCACAAAGGTATAATTGGATATTTTGAGAGATGATTCTAGATGGAAAGAGTTCC